AATATTCTTACTTAAATAATAACATTATATATGACTAGTATAATCAAAATATTATGATGTGATTTCTCTTTTAATAATTGGTTTAGTTTGTAAAATCGTAAGAATTAAGTCGTACATCATATGATTTAATCTTTTTTTTTTACATTTACATTTTATTCAAATATTAGATCGAATCGTAAGGCTTAAATGGATTAAGCTCAAGGGCTTAAATGGATTAAGCTCAAGTCCATTAATTTTTTTTTAATTTTTTTATTATATTATATTTGTTAATAATTTAATTAAATTATTTAATAATAATGAATATGATAATTAATAATTTGTTTAACATTATTTATTATAATCATTTTATACCTTTTGTTTATATTATATATATATTCCTTGTTATAATAATCCTAACTATAAATATAAAAACATAAAATGATTATATAATTGTATAACTAATGTTTTATAAATTATTCATTATCATGTTGACTATTATCAATATCAAAAATCCCGACTAATAACAAATGCATATATATTTTATTTTGAAAAATATAAAAAAAAAATACGATTTAATTTAAAAGAAAGATTGAATATTGATTTTTGAAATTTTGAAAAATTTCTCAATTATTATTTTCACTTATAAATACCCATAATCCAATTTCTCATGTTTTTTCAAGTTTCAATATATGTTTTTTTTGTTAAAAAAAATATTGAAAAACCGGCCTGGACCCGGACCCGACCCGGACCCGCCCCGGACCCGGATGGACCCGGGTGAACCCGCCCCGGGCCCGGATGGACCCGGGTGAACCCGCCCCGGACCCGGACCCGGCTTCCCGCGGGTCGGTTTCGGGTCCCCTAGAAGTTGGACCCGGACCCGGACCCGACCCGCACCGTGGCCATGTCTAGATACTACAATGGGGAAATGAAGAATTTTTTTTATAGAGAAATGTAGAGAGTTGTGACGAAGATTTATGCGAAATAGACGACAAGTGGCAGTCCCTCAATACGTGGCACGATGTGATTGGATCATTTTGAAAACGAGATTATCTCATGACTAGGCGTCTTACTGGCATATGGATGACGCGAAGTGAACGAATCCCGTGTGTACGCGTGGCAATCATTGATTGAATTTTTTTTAATACGAATCTCATGAATATGGTAATACAATCGAGTCAGATGATTTTGGTATCATGAATAATTAAAAGATAATAAGGCCTTTCTTTCTCTTGTCGCATATTTCGGATAAATAATGTAGACTAAGGAATCCAAGAGAATTATGTAGAAATCTAGCTAAGAGCCCGGTTTGTTAAACACAACTGTGAAAGCTTGATAAACATTCAAATAAACTTGTACAAATACGTGTTCAGCTCGACTCGGCTCGATTCAACTGTAAATAATTGTTAATTTAAACAATGATTTAACTATGTTCATAATTTTTGTAGATTGAATTGAAAAACAAATAATAATGGTTACTTTAATTTGATCTTTTCATCTACTCCAATACACGTCTGGTTTAACAGTAACCGATGGTTTATCTAATTTAGCACTCATCGTACCTTTTATTAATTTTTGCGCATACACTTTAAAGAGTAAAAAGGTAATTACAAATGTCTGGAAAATCATGAGAATCAAAAATATGTTCGGTTCGACCGGATTCATTTACACCCCTATTTATATGCCATACATCGAACTAACATATCAGTCAAAACCTCACCCCCAATCCATAATAATATTTATTCCTCAAACCAACAAGCAAAGAATAATCACAAACACTGGAATTACTCCAAAATAAACAAAACCCATAAATTATTTAATTCTTGCCAAAAAAACGAAAAAATCCGGACAAGTCCTTAATTGCGATTAGCAAACGAAGAAATCGATTAAGCTCTTAACATAGCAGCATCAAGTATTATCTCTTTCGTCCACCAGAAACCTGCAATAAAAACATACCAATTGAGAAGAATACCGTACACATTATTTGAACAGTAGTAAGCACAATTTAGTTTCCCATTGTGAATTATATACATACTTCGTCTCATCAAAGACTCGCTATAATACTTATACCTATCTTTTCGTTTTCAAGATCGTGATTTTTCTACGCGAAGGAACAAAACTCTATATCATCGCAGTTGCTCTTGTTCCTTATAAAAAAGCCATGAGCAGAAAAGTTCCAGCGAAAAATTAACTACGAACAATTTGTATTATCCAATTTCCAATCAAACTGCATTTTATCATTTACAGTAGGAACTCACCTTCTCTTTCCCTTTTGACATACGAGAAGACTTTGTTCCATGATCGGTCAATCTGCATGTGCATAATATAGTATACTTTAAGCTTTAGCATCACTAAATTAAACACGCTTTTGGGGCAAAGCAATAATATTAAGAAATGGGGATAAAGGAGGATTAAGATACAAAAAGCACAACCGAAGTGGCAACTTAATACTTTTTTTTGAGTAAATTCAAGTCCATTACAAGGGGAAGTAGGGGAGGGGGGACTCGAACCCTAGACCTTTACCCTATTGGTAAAGGCTAGGTACCAACTCTCCTAATGAGGGTTGGTTTTTGGCAACTTAATACTACCATATGGATATTGGGTAAATTACAACCATCTATGAGGTATGGTTAAATGTTTGAATAATTACAATGATATAAATTAAATGATGAGCAAAGCATATCATAGCTGGATTACAAGTTTAAACTGAAGAACTAAACATGTGATCAGGGCCGGCCCTGGTGCAGGGCGAGCTGGGCCTCTGCCCAGGGCCCATTATTATAAGGGGGCCCCAATTTTTAATTCTTTACTTATATATATATGTATATATATGTATTTATATTAGGTTTTTTTTTTTTCCGTTTGTTCTGCTGCAATTAATTTCTGATTTCCCTTCTCAATAAACAAAACGCCGTTTTCTCTTCTCAATGAAACAGAATGCCGATTACTTCTCATTCTTCAATTTTCAAGATTTAACGTTCCAATTTCTTCTTCCTCAAATGTCAATAAATTGGTTGCTTTCCTCAATCTCTTTTCCTCATTCAATTTCAAAGCATAAAATATTATTGACAATAATTTTTTTACCCAATTTTTTGCATTATTCCACCGTCAACGTCACCGTCACGGCGTCACCGTCTTATTTCCGGTCGAAGCTCGATAGTCCCCACTTTCTGCTATTTTTTTTGGGTAAGTTTTAAGGTATTCACGATTTTTTTTAGCTTCTTTCTCCATTGGGGTTTCTATATATTCTTCTCTGATTTGTTCGGGAAAAAAATAATTTTCTGTTTTATTTATTTATTTTGTCTTTTAAAATCCAGAATCAAGAAGGCATAGCAATCAGGAGAGGATACTTTGCTCAATTGCTCAGCCAACACCGTCTAATATAATATGGTATTTAATCAATATTTCTGGTTCGATTTTTTTTTCCGCTTTTGTGGCAAATACCGAGTGATACGAAATGTAGGCCCTTTGTTTGAGATGTACTTTTTTTATTTTTCCGTTATTCCAAAATCTTGAATTGTTGTATTTTTACTTTTGGCTTATTGAAGTAGATGCTCTGTTTTGTTCGGAATCTGCTCATCGATTCCTCATCGTTGTAATTGTTTATTATGTATTTAATTTTATTTTCTATTTTTCTATGATTTCAAATCAATGATTTTGTCCAGTATATAATTTCTTACCCAATGGTAATTAATTAGTTAATAATTATTAATCATATTCACTGATTAATAATTATGAAAACCACACAGGCACACGCTGATACATTGAAATTTTGAAAGCGAGGGTGATACCTGGGAAGACTTATCTCCGTCGTGTGACTTCGAATTGCATTTTGAATTTCAGAACGAAGAAAATTGACATCACCAGGTGATATCGTTTCTTTTCCTTACTTGACTTTATTTTGTTTTTATTGAATTTTGATAGTGTTTTAGTATTGCAAGAGTCTATTTTTTTCACCAAAAATTGAATATGTTTCCTAGAAAACAAGCATTTGGTTATGAAAAAAAACAAAAAAAGAAAAAACAAGAAGAAGAGGATAAAGTATTGAGAAAAACTATGGGTAAATGGATTTTAAAAAATTGTGATAGTTTAGGTGACACAATAGTTGAGAATTTAGAAAATACTAATGAAGTAATTGACGAGACTAAAACTTGTGTGGATGAAGAAATTGGTGATATAATTGAAAATGAGACTGAAGTGAAAGTGAATGAAAAAAATGATCATATATTTAATGAACCAAATTTAAATGTTGATATTTATGACCCGAGGGTTTGGGATGGTTTAGATGCAAAATTTATAGATTTGCTCGTAGAAAAAGGTCCTAAAAGACAATCAAATTTAGAATATCCTATTGATAAACTTGGTAGGCATTTCTCTTCAAATTTTTATATTCGTGTATTATCGAATGGTGAAAACATGATAGAAATTGGCTTGTTTACTCTAAGGATTTAGATAAAGTATTTTGTTTTTGTTGCAAATTATTTAAAACAATGCCTAGTAGAAGCTTATTAGCAACTGAAGGAATTTGTGATTGGAAACATCTTAGCGAGAAACTTACACAACATGAAAATAGTAAAGAACATCTCATGAACTTAAGAAGTTGTGTTGAGTTACGAATTCGATTGAGCAAAAATCAAACAATTGATAGAGAAATGCAAGAGCTAATTAAACGAGATACTCAACATTGGAAACAAGTTATGCTTCGAATAATTGTTGTTGTGAAATGTCTTGCAATACATAATTTAGCATTTCGTGGTACAAATGAACGACTTAATGAAGATACTAATGGAAATTTTCTGGGTTTAATTGAAATGATTGGAGAGTTTGATCCTGTGATGCAGCATCATTTTCGTCTTATTCAAGATAAAAAAATTCATTATCATTATCTTAGCCATAAAATACAGAATGAGTTGATACAAATTCTAGCTTCAAGGGTCAAAGATGCAATTATTAAAATTATAAAAAATGCAAAATATTATTCAGTAATCCTTGATTGTACTCCCGATGCAAGTCATCAAGAACAAATGACAGTAATCATAAGATGTGTAGATGTGTCAAATACTCCAATAAAAATAGAAGAGTACTTTTTAGAATATAGAAATGTGGTTGATACTTCTGGATTTGGACTTTTTAATGAATTGAAATCTGTGTTAACATCTCTTTCACTTGATATTCATAATGTTCGGGGACAAGGGTATGATAATGGCTCTAATATGAAAGGAAAAAATATAGGTGTTCAAAGAAGATTGCTTGACATTAATCCAAGAGCGTTTTATATGCCATGTGCTTCTCATTGTCTTAATTTGATTCTTTGTGAAATGGCAAACTCTAGTATCAAAGCAAAAAGTTTTTTTGGAGCTTGTCAATGCATATATACTGTGTTTGCTAATTCCACAAAACGTTGGAATGTTTTACTTGATTATATTGATGGGCTAACTTTAAAGTCATTGTCAACTACACGTTGGGAAAGCCATATAGATAGTGTTAAAGCAATTTTATCTCAAGTTTCTAAAATTAGAGAAGCTTTGCTTAAGTTGGTAGAAGTTAGTGATGATGCCAAACTGAGTAGAGATGCTGAATCATTAGCATTAGGAGAACTTTCAAATTTTGAATTTATACTAAGTTTAGTCATTTGGCATGATGTTTTGCTTCGAATTAATGTAGTTAGCAAAAAATTACAATCCGAAGATATGTGTCTTGATATTGCTGTTAAACAATTGGAAGGACTTATTTCATTTTTTGAAAATTATAGAATAAATGGATTGAATTCAGCAATTATAGATGCTAAAAAGATAGCAATTGATATGGAAATTGAGCCTATATTTGTCATAAGAAGAAGACTTTGTCGAAAGAGACATTTTGATGAAACTTCTAATAATGAAAGAGAACATGCATCACCAGAAGAATATTTTAGAACGGATTATTTTCTTGTAATTGTGGATAATGCTCTATCTCAACTAAGGAGTAGGTTTGAACAGTTGCAATTGTTTCAATCTATTTTTGGATTTTTATTCAATGCAATAAAATTAATTTCATTAGATAGTGAAGAATTAAAGTGTTGTTGTGAGAATCTTGAAAATGCTTTAAAATTTGATGATGTTTCTGATGTTAATGCTAGAGATTTACTCTCAGAATTAGAGGTATTGCAAGTTGTGTTACCAAGTGAATCGTATGAAATAAATAAACCATGGAATTCCATTAAGATATTAGAGTTCGTAAAAAGTATGGATATGTTTCCAAATGTTATGATTGCTTATAGAATATTATTGACTATCCCTGTTACTGTGGCATCCGCCGAAAGAAGTTTTTCCAAATTAAAGTTGTTGAAATCTTATTTAAGAACCACAATGGCTCAAGAAAGGCTTAATGCATTAGCCATATTATGTATTGAAAAAAATATATTGGAAAATATTTCATATGATAGTATAATTGATGATTTTGCTTCTAAAAGTGCAACAAGAAGACATTTCAAATGATTATGTTGCTATTTGATTGACTATTTTTGTAGGTGATGCTATACCAAGGTGTTGAAGATGACCAAGGTGTTGAAGATGAAGCTACAAGAAATTGAATGATAATTTGATGTTTGTATCATGTAATCTTAATTGTATTTTTTTTTTTTTTACATTTTTTTTGGGTTAGGTACTCTTTTTCCTTCTTTAGGGGTTTTGTCCCATCGGGTTTTTCCTAAGAAGGTTTTAACGAGGCCCAACGAATCGCCCAATTTTTGTAAACTCGTTTATTGCAATGAAGTTAATCATTTTGCTCATTTAGCTTAGAGAGGGCACATTTTTCAAGTTTCGCCCTAGGCCTCCATTTAGGCCGGACCGGCCCTGCATGTGATTAAGACCAAAGAGAAGCTTACATCTCTGCTGAGGAACAAGATTGTGTACACGAAAGAGAAGCCCAAAGAGTTGCATCAATCTTCTCTTCCTGATAAATAGGTAAAGACAAACAGACGCGTTAAATATATATATATATATATATATATATATATATATCAAGGTTGTAAAAAGCGGTAATCGGGTCCGAGTCGGTCAGGCACCGACTCACGATTAATCGGTGCGGCGGTGATTAATCGGTGATAAATCGGAAATAAATCGATTTTTAAAATTTAATATAATATATTTCTAAATATTATTTATAAATACTCCAAACATATATAAAAAGATATTTAAACATAATTATATCTATGTATCCTAATAACATAATAAAAGTTTAATAATCATAATATCATAATACATAAACATTCTTATAAAATATAAATAAAAAAACATTTTTTTTTTAATTTACATTTATTCTTGAACATTTCTCGCATACATCATTAGGTTTTTAACAATAACATACATAAACAAAATAAGGCATCAACTCATTTTCTTTTATTAAAATCCAACTTTTAATAAAAAAAAAAAAAAATGATTTTTAACCGATTTTTGACCGATTTTTGCCACCGAGTTTGACCCGCCTTAAAGGTTTGACCGCCTCAGACCGCCTCGCACCGCCTCGGACCGCCTAAAACCACCTCACACGCAAAAAAACGATTTTTCAAACCTTTACACTAAAATCGTAAAGGTTTTGGACCGCCTCCGCCTCGGAGACCGATTAATCGGCCGCCTCGACCGATTTTTAGAACACTGATATATATATATATATATATATATCCATTTTGAGGTTGATCAGTAGCAAAAGATCATGTTATGAAGATTGAGTTTTCACCAAGTTTCACGTATAAAGTTGGGAAAACGCATGGGCTTCGCAACGAAGACTTGAGCTCGAAAGTCTACATTGCCAAAATCCTCTTGTTCCTTTAATATTTGTTTAGCAGAAATGACAGCTAACTTGCTACACGAAATCAACTCAATCGATTGAAGCGTTGATATTTCTCCAATACATGAAGGGATCTCCTTCAACTTATCCAAGAACTGAAGATGAAGATGCTCAAGGCGTGGAAAGTGGTTGCTGTCTGTTGTCCACCACTCCAGGTCACGGCAACTTCTGATTAGCAAGTATCTAAGGTTGCAGAATTGCCCTTCAATCGTTTCCCACTCGGTCCCTACAAAGGAACTTGCCTTTAGTTTGAGGACTTGAAGACTGGGTAACAAACCTATCTTTGTCTTCATGTCATCCCATTTGAGCATGGTCCCCCACAAAGTCAACTTCTTTAGGGAATTGGGGAGGATGAAATTCTGCACCAAATGCTTATTTTTTGAATAAAGGGAGAAACGCAAAGACTCGAGTTTATGTAGATGGTCAAGATTGTCGAGGCAGTAACTCAAAAAACCCTGAGGTTCCTCAAAGTAAGATATTTGTAATTTATTAATATTGGGGATTCTCTTGACCACCTCTTCTCCACATTTGAAATTTCTTATATAAGTGAGCGTCTGTAGGTTCCCCAAAACAAATTCGTCATCTTTCCCACCAATAGGAGGATCAGGCAGCTTAAGTTGAAAGAAATGAACATGCTTAAGTTGAGTCATGTTCCAAATTTCACATGGTACGGTGCAACAACGCCCCAGTTACCATTTACAATTAAGGTCTGTAGATTCCAAAGGAGATTGACTGAAGAAGGAAATCCGGACTTTTTAAGCACATCAGATCGGATAGCAATGAACCTCAGGTTAACTAGCCGAAAGACAACTTCTACGGAATACTCGTATTGTCTGTTGTTATCGAAATATGACTTTTTATCATCGACTTTCAGCACCCTCAACAATCTAAAATCAAGTAATGGTAAACGTTCTTCAAAATTGCAAATCAGAGAACGAACAAGAGGCACATATTGCAACGTACGAAGGACTGGATCAGGGTGATAATCCTTCTCCGACATGCTTTGATGAATACCAATGCGGCGGTGGGTACTTATGCCATATGGAATGGTAAGTTCATGCGGTCTTTTGACATAAAGGAACTTCTCTTTCTCAGCTTCTCGCAAGCATAGTTCCCTCAAGAGATCATGGATTTTGCAAAACTTGATATTTCCATAAGACCCCCTTTCATGAACTAAAATCAAGTTTCTATCACAGAGCTCCTGCAAGTACTCTCTTGAAACCACTTCCAAGCTTTTTCCCTTAATTGGTTTCACAAATACTTCAGAAACCCATAGTTTTACGAGCCACGAGACACGTATCTTTTTGTCCTCAGGAAAAACTCCCATATAAAGAAAACATGGCTTTAGATGTACCGGCAAATGGTTATAACTCAATTGTAATACTTTTAAGCAACGTTCATCGTCTTCCGAATTTACAATTTTTTTTATGTTTTCTGAAACATATTCCCAATGTTCTCTTGTGCGCTTAGACTTCGCTAGGTGTCCTCCAATAACAACTATTGACAAAGGAAGTCCTTCGCAATTTTTGGCAATCTTCTTTCCTATTTCCTCCAATTCAGGAGGGCATTCTTCTTCTTCTTCTAATATAGATTTGCACAGTAGATCCCAACTCTTGTCTTCATTTAAGAAATCCATCACAACGCCATGAGAGCCAATCGAAGCAACGTCTGATAGCCTAGTGGTTATCATTATTCTACTTCTTTGACCAACATTGTCCGGAAAGAAGAGATTTACTTTATCCCATACCTCAACACTCCAAATATCATCCATTACAATCAAATATCTCCTTCCCCATAAACTTTGGTGTACTTTTACACCTAATTCACCTTCACTCTTCGCACTTAAGGTTTCTCTGCTCTCAGCTTTGTTTATACAAAGAAGAATTTCTATAAGAATTTCTCGCACATTGTAGTTTTGAGATACTGTAACCCAAGCTCGAATATCAAAGTGCTTCATAAACTTAACGTACGCATTTCTAGCAAGAGTAGTCTTACCAATGCCGCCCATGCCAACTATCGGGATTATGCGGAGATTAGATTGTTGTCCGGTGAGCTTATCCATTACTTCATTTAAGACATCATCAAGTGTTAAGTGTATATTTTTACACTTTATCGTATCTTTTTATTTGAGCTTTTGGTGTGTTTTAATGATAATTGGTGCTTAAAAAGTTGATTTATTGTATTTTAGGTACAAATTGAAGAATTGGAAAAGTATGGGGTCAAAACTGCAATTTTGGCGAAAATATGGGTCAAAAGTGAAAATATCAAAATTCTGAAGAAACAAGGCTCGGACCCCCGTCCCAGTTTTAGTGCAAATTATGGGACCCCCGTCCCATACCCCGAAGTTGCGCAGTAAAGGGATTTTAATTGCACAAGGAAACTGCCTTCTTCCCCAAGTTCTTCACCCTATATAAGACCAATCCAAGCACACAATTAGGGATCTTTTTTACGGAATTTGGAGAGCAACAAAGCAATAACGAAGACGAAGAATTCGAAGACTTCAAGCATAGATTTATCATCTATGATTTATTTTATTTGCGTTTTTGCTTTAATCATGAGTAGCTAAATTACTTATTTCTAGGATTTTATTTGGAACCCTATGTGAGATTTATGAACCCAATTCTATGATTTTATGCAAGTTTTAATTCCGGATTATTTCTTCTGCTTGTTTTATTAAGTGCATGAACTTGATCAACTTATGTGCTTTTATGTTATTGTTAATCGCATGAATCGGAAGATCGGGTTAATAATTAGAACTGTGGTAGAAGAGCCTTTGTGGTATTAATATAGGAATATAGTTAATCTCTTAGGTAGCCATTATTGAGATTTGTGCTTAATGCTGTGTTCTAGAATTAATTGCATAGGAATATAGTAATTGAATCTAGAGGATTAGAATCGTAATACACGCGGAAGCGGGTTATGATTATTTTAGCATCTCAGATTAATAATCCGGGTTAATTGCTTGCATAATTGAAGGAATTGGGGGAGTAATAATCACATAGGGGGAAGAATAAAATCCTAGGCTTGTCTACTTTGATTAATCTTCGTATTTTAAATTGCTCTCTTGTTTTTTTTTGCTTGTTTTTAATTTAGTTTAACTTAGTTTATTAATCCTTATTCGACTGTGTAGGGTGGGCTTGATAATAATTGGTAGAATTTAGCGTCTAGGATTAGATAATTAAATATTCCCTGTGGGTTCGATATCCGGACTTAATTGTCCACTATATTACTTGTACGATACGTGCACTTGCGTGTAGGTTTTCGACCAACAAGTTTTTGGCGCCGTTGCCGGGGAATATTTTAATTATTTATTTTATTCTAGCTCTAGATTTGAACAATTTTCACGATTCACCCATTTAATTTTTGTTTTTTTTTTTTTTCTTAGGTACCGTGTATGCGTAGAAGACTCGATCGTGCTAGAGAACCGTTTGATCCCGAAATCGAACGTACTTTTCGAGCCGCTAGGAGACTTCAACGCGAAAACAATATAATGGAGGACGAAGAACGCAGGGCCGCGGGTAATTTACTCGAGGCCAACGGAAACCAAGTCCAAGACCCTCCCCCTCAACTTCCAGCACAGCCAGCAGTTCGTCCACGGGCACTTCAAGACTACATAATCCCAACTCTAGACGGATTCCGCCCGAGCATCCAATATCCACCCATTGAGGCGCACAATTTTGAGATCAAGCAAGGCCTTTTGACGATGCTCCAAAATAACGGGCTATTTAGTGGGTTGGCAGGTGAAGATCCCCATCTTCACATTGTCAATTTTCTAGATACCTGTAATTCCCACCGTCAAAACGGCGTTTCCCAAGAGGCGCTTCAATTAATTCTCTTCAAGCACTCCCTACAAGGAAGAGCTCGCCAGTGGTTGATGTCCCAAGCCCCCCACTCTATCTCGTCGTGGCCTCAACTCCTCAACCTTTTCATGAAAGTCTATAGCTCACCCGAGAAGGACGAGAGAATCCGACGAGAAATTCACAATTTTGTCCAAGAGCAAGGCGAGCAATTATACGAGGCATGGGAGCGATTTAAAACTCTTTTGCGGCAATGTCCAACACATGGAGTCGAACAATGGCGGCAAATCCACATCTTTTACCAAGGGATTAATGAGAATGCACGAACGGTCTTAGATGCATCAACCGGGGGAAATTTTATGAGTCAATCGATACCGGATGCTTTCATCATGTTGGATCAAATTGCTCAAAATCGGTTTGCCAAGTCAAGCGAAAGGACGGTGAGTGGAGCCAAGAAAGTTCCCGGAGTGTTGGAGTTAGATGCAATTACGGCCCTTCAAGCACAAGTGACCCAAATTGCTCAACAAAATCAACTCCTTCTACAACACATCAAAGCAAATCCACCACAACAAGTTCAAGCCGTTGAGTCTCCATGTTGTGAAATTTGCGGGGGAAATCATTACACACTCCAATGCCAACAAGATGTGGAGTCGCTCAACTACGTCAACAACGCGCCTCGCCAATTCCAAAATCAAGGGTGGAGATCACAAGGGCAATATGGAGGAAATCAACAAGGGCAAGGATATCAAAGACCTCAAGGTCAATTCCAAAATCAAGCCCCTCCTCAACAAAGCTATCAAGGCAACAATCCACCGGCCCAAAAATCAAATACGGATGAGATATTGGCCCAATTCATGACCGCTACCCAAGCCTCGCTGCGGAATTTGGAGAATCAATTCGCTCAATTCGTTGTGAATCAAGAGAAACGTCCGGCGGGAGCATTGCCATCGAATACGGAAGATCCTCGAAAGCAAAAGTTCGAGACGTGCCAAGCTATCGATTTCAAGATCGAGAAAAAGGAAGAAAGTCAAGTCAAGCCGCAAGTCGCTGTAGCCGAATGGGTCGAACCAATCCCATATCCACAAAGATTGTTAACGAAAAAGATCGAGGTCGAGACATGCCAAGCAGTCACCTTGAAGAACGGTAAGCAATTGGAGGAAGCCCCACGAAAGGAGAAGAGAAAAACGGTAATCGAGAAGACGAAAGTGAATGAGGAAAAAGAATCAACTCATGAAGAGTCACCATCAACGGTGCCTTCACAAGTCCCTCCAATTCCTTATCCTCAAAAGTTTATAATAAAGAAGCTCGATGCCGAATATCAAAGATTTTTGGACAAGTTGAAGGAAATTCGCATAAATATTCCTTTCATTGAAGCACTTCAAAAGATGCCAAAGTGGGTGAAATTCCTCAAGGACCTCGTGAAGAAAAGTAAGAAATTGCAAGGGAACGAGATGATCCAACTCACGGAGCAAATTAGTGCAATTCTTACTCGGCCTCTTCCACAAAAACTCGGCGATCCAGGTAAGTTTACTATTCCTTGTACTATAGGAGGCAAAAATTTTAGATCGCTCATTGATTTAGGTGCTAGCATTAATCTTATGCCGTACTCTACTTTTAAAAATCTTGGGTTAGGAGAAATTGAACCGACGGCTATAACTCTTCAATTAGCCGATAGATCTTTAGTTTACCCAAAAGGTATTTTAGAGAATGTGCTAGTGAAAGTTAATAAATTTATCTTCCCTGTTGATTTCGTTATACTTGATATAGATGAGGATAGGGAGATACCTCTTATCGTAGGGAGACCGTTTTTAGCCACGTCGAAAACTCTCATTGATTGTGCTAGTGGTGATCTTACAATGACTGTGCATGATCAAACAATCAAATTCAATGTTTTTAGTGCTAATAAAAATCCATGTGATAATAATGATTGTTTTGCTATTGAGCTTATGGATTTTACAAATAATGAAAAGTTTGATGTTTCGATCTTGGACAATGGGAAAGCATCTTTGAGTGCAGGAGATGATGGCGGAAACGGGAATCGGACGGAGCAAGTTTATTTCATGGACTCACTTTTAAATCCTCCGAGAGAAAGTCATGCGAGTCGACGTCTTAACGACGATGAGAATGCAAGGAAGATGTTGCCACCCAAAGGCTCGAGCAAGTCACGAGAGAAGGATGAGTCAAGCTATTGTGGTCGTAAGGAGAAAATCAAAAAGGAATTGCACAAAGGACAATTGGTGTTATTGTGCAAATCCCGTCTTTGGTTATTTCCAAGGAAGCGCAAATCAAAGTGGTCGCGGCCGTTTATTGTCCAAGAAATTCTTCCTCACGAGGTGGTCAAAATAAAGGAGCGCGATTCAAATCGTACGTTCAACGTGAAGCGGAGCCGGCTCAAATCGTATTGGGAAGCGAGTGAAGAATGCCAAGTGACCTCGGTCACTTTTGCTTGAAAATAATGAAGCAATGTCCGGCTGAAGACTTTAAACTTAGCGCTTCTCGGGAGGCAACCCGAGCTTTATTGTTTTTCGTAGTTTTCGTTAATTTTTTCGTTTCGTTTTTTTTATTGTCATAAGCATGCATTCTAATTCACTATTTGAATTTTACTTTTCAGGGTCGAAAACGTGATCGAGGGTCGAGTCGGCCGTCTGAAAAAAAAAAGAAAAAAAAAAAAAAAAAAAAAAATAAAAAAATTGCACCACTGCCTGTGGGACGGCCGTCCCACAAATAGGTGTAAATGTGGGACCCCCGTCCCACAACCAGTAAGGAGAAAAAATTTCGGACGGCCGTCCGAAATTTAGCACAAAAACCGGGACGGCCGTCCGAACCTATTTGGGGCGTTTTAAATGTTTAAAAATCAGATTTTCTCCCCCATTATTTCCTAAACCCTCCTCATTCCTTCTCTCAAACTCCCACACACAAATGGAGGCAAGAGAATCGAACCAAAATCTTAAAAATCTACTCTTTCAAGACACGCCCACAAGGTGTTCGATAATTTGCTCCAACCAAATTTTGAGTTCGATTGTCAACCAATTCTTAACGAATCTATTCCAACCTCTCTCCCAACTTTCTTGTCCAACAAAAGAAGCCGCATGAGAGAAGCTTCATCTTCTAAATGCAAAGGAAAAGGCAAGAAAAGTGCCACCAAAACGACGATTCCTCTTCCAAAGCCGCTCCTCAAGCCCGAGACGACCCCGAAGCCTCAAGCTCCCGTGCCGATCGACGATTCCGAATGAAGATGGAGCGAGAGAGCTTTCCGATGATGAGGAGCATGAGAGAGCTAGGGAGGAGCACCCCGATCACATCGACTCCGAATAAATCAGGTGTTTTCTATCCTTAAAACTTTGTGCTAATTTCGTTGAGGGCAACGGAAATTTTAAGTTTGGGGGTGAAAAACATGTTATTTTTGTGCTTATTTGTTTTAGTTTGCATGCATTAGGTTTTATTCGTTTTTATTTTTTTTCTCGTTTTTCCGGAATATAAAAAAAAAAAAAAAAAATTTGCTTGAGTCGAATGCATCGATGATTTATGATGATGAGAGGTGATCAATGTTTGATGATGAGATTGCTTGTTTTGTGTGATAAGGATTTGATGTTTGTTTAGCTTTCGATTCAACGGGACTTAGAAGCAAATTATTGCTAGGAATCACATTTTGTGCATTGCTTTTGTTGAATGTTTTGTATTTTAAATTTGGAATTAATTTGTGCTAGATCATGTTATGTTCGGTTTTAAGACTCACCTTAGGAAATTTATGATACGAAGTATTGAGTAGTGAGTAGGGGTGGTAAACGAGCCGAGCCGGCTCGCGAACTCGACGAGCCGGCTCGAAAAAAGCTCGAACTCGAGCTCGGGTTTTTCGAGCTCGAGCTCGAGCTCGAGCCCAAAATTAGTTGTTCGGCAGCTCGCGAGCCGGCTCGCGAGCTGCCTTCTTAATTTTTTTTTTTTTTTTTTTTTTTTCTTTTTTTCTTTTTACATTTATATATATATATATATATATATATATTATTATTATAATTATTATTAACTAAATAGTAAATAGTCTATAATAATAAATATATCTAGTATTTAAATAGAAACAAATCTATATTACTTAAATAATTCATAATAATATAAAATATAATAATAATAATAATAGAAAAAATAAAAAATACATATAACTAGAGTTCATTATTTATTTTATAAATTTTTTTTATTTTCCTATGAATATTTTTTAATAAAAAATAAAATGATTTTAATAAAAAATTAAATAATAATAATAAAAAAAAAAAAAAAAATTAATTATAAGCTCGAGCTCGAGCTCGAGCTCGAGCTCGCCAAAATTGGCTCGAGCTCGAGCTCGAGCCAAAAATAATTGGCTCGATGAGCTCGAGCTCGAGCTCGAGCTCGGCAACATGGACTCGAGCTCGAGCTCGAGCTGGCCAAAAGAGCCGAGCTCGGCTCGAGCTCGGCTCGTTCCCACCCCTAGTAGTGAGTGATTTGGGATATGATTTGGGCCTTCTTTGAACCGTTTGAGCCTTTCAAGCCAACCTTTTTATCGAAATATTCCTTAGAACCTTGATTTGAGCCTCGGAGAAAAGGTGTTCTTTCTTTTAGCCAATGTGTAAGGTAGAATAGGTGGAGATTCTTGAAAATTACCCCTTGGAGTTCGGTCGAAAAATTTTATAAGGTCCTTCTTCTTCTTCTGCGGAAAAAAAAAAAAAAAAAAAGAAGACAAATATCTATGCTTCTATATACATATAAAAAAAAAGAAAAAAAAAAAGAGAAAAAAAAAAGAGAGAGAAAAAGAAGAAGAAGAAGAGACTAGAAGGGAGAAATAAGGACTAGTTGTTGAATTATTTTTGAAAACTCGATCCATTGCCTCAAAAGCAAAAGTGGAGACTTTTGAACTTTTGAGAATCGAGTTTACTAAAGTCCGTAGAGGTGAATTTATTGTTTCAAACGCCTATCTTTCAAATTTTGGCGTAATCACCTAAATTCAAGAAGAATAGCCACACATACCCATATTTCCTACCTCGAACCAAAGAGCCTAACAATTGAAAGCCACAAAGCCCCAATGATCCCAATAGCTTAATGTTCGATATTAGTAGAGTAGAATAATTTGGTGAGTATTTTGAGTCAAGCATATGCATGTAAGTATAAATTTTTTCTATCTTTAATTTGCAAATATTGGATGCTTGAAGCAATTGTATGAATTGTGGTTTTTGGTAATGGTGAGTAACTAAGTGTTGTTGAATTTTGAGCTTGCGAATGCCTAAGAATTGTCATTATAATTACAAGTTCTGAAAACGTGAAGTTGGTCATTGATCTATGTGATGAGATGTTATCGTTGAGTTATTTGCTTATTGGTAAATTTGGCTTGAGGACAAGCAAAAGTTCAAGTTTGGGGGTGTGTTAAGTGTATATTTTTACACTTTATCGTATCTTTTTATTTGAGCTTTTGGTGTGTTTTAATGATAATTGGTGCTTAAAAAGTTGATTTATTGTATTTTAGGTACAAATTGAAGAATTGGAAAAGTACGGGGTCAAAACTGCAATTTTGGCGAAAATATGGGTCAAAAGTGAAAATATCAAAATTCTGAAGAAACAAGGCTCGGACCCCGTCCCAGTTTTAGTGCAAATTATGGGACCCCCGTCCCATACCCCGAAGTTGCGCAGTAAAGGGATTTTAATTGCACAAGGAAACTGCCTTCTTCCCCAAGTTCTTCACCCTATATAAGACCAATCCAAGCACACAATTAGGGATCTTTTTTACGGAATTTGGAGAGCAACAAAGCAATAACGAAGACGAAGAATTCGAAGACTTCAAGCATAGATTTATCATCTATGATTTATTTTATTTGCGTTTTTGCTTTAATCATGAGTAGCTAAATTACTTATTTCTAGGATTTTATTTGGAACCCTATGTGGGATTTATGAACCCAATTCTATGATTTTATGCAAGTTTTAATTCCGGATTATTTCTTCTGCTTGTTTTATTAAGTGCATGAACTTGATCAACTTATGTGCTTTTATGTTATTGTTAATCGCATGAATCGGAAGATCGGGTTAATAATTAGAACTGTGGTAGAAGAGCCTTTGTGGTATTAATATAGGAATATAGTTAATCTCTTAGGTAGCCATTATTGAGATTTGTGCTTAATGCTGTGTTCTAGAATTAATTGCATAGGAATATAGTAATTGAATCTAGAGGATTAGAATCGTAATACACGCGGAAGCGGGTTATGATTATTTTAGCATCTCAGGTTAATAATCCAGGTTAATTGCTTGCATAATTGAAGGAATTGGGGGAGTAATAATCACATAGGGGGAAGAATAAAATCCTAGGCTTGTCTACTTTGATTAATCTTCGTATTTTAAATTGCTCTCTTGTTTTTTTTGCTTGTTTTTAATTTAGTTTAACTTAGTTTATTAATCCTTATTCGACTGTGTAGGGTGGGCTTGATAATAATTGGTAGAATTTAGCGTCTAGGATTAGATAATTAAATATTCCCTGTGGGTTCGATATCCGGACTTAATTGTCCACTATATTACTTGTACGATACGTGCACTTGCGTGTAGGTTTTCGACCAACAAGTTTTTGGACCAACCACGGTTTCGTGCCTCGTTGTTAAATGAGACCTTGATGAAGCAAGAGTTGAAGAATTTATGTGCAGATGATCTTCCATTACAATACTCTTTTTAATCTCCATCACATCATTCTTGATTAAACCAATGTCTTGGATCACCTTATCGAGATCTCGGTACAAGTCAACGGAACTGATTTTTTCCATGACATCTAAACCAGCTACAACATTCTGCCTCGTCGAAGGAGATCTTGATGAACCAGCACCACAAAAAGTGGACAAAATTCTGCGCAGACGGTCTTGCATTCTAGTATTCTTCATTTTTTTCGATTCAGCAAGAATTTGATCAACAACACGGGTTTCGATTATATCTTCGGCCACATGAGCTGCATCTGCAATTCGACTTTCAAAAACATCTATTGCTTCTCTGCTGATGCCAACACAAGGATATCCCTGCTCGAGAAATTTTTGCAAGAAATTGAGGGTGTCGGTGAGAGAATCAACCTGGTTTTGGTCAAAAGAAATTGGAGGGCAAGGATGAAGCTGAATCTGTTGGATGATATACTTGAGAGAAAGTACAGCTGCATAGGCCGCCATCTCTAATTAACTTGCTCTCTTCTTCTTCCTCTCTGTCTCTCCAGCTCTCTCCCTCTCTCTAGGTAATCAAATTGGTTTTCAGAACAATGCTTCTGGTCAACATTTAGGAAGATTTGTTTATCAAAATAAAACGGATATGCTACTCACAAGTTGACTGAATTAAAAAGGGGATTTTAGATATACGTGCTTACAACTAGACAACAAATCCCTCAGAAAAATAAATAAAAGAAGAAGTCATCTCTACAAAACGAAGGGGGAGAGAGAGAGAGAGAGAGAGAGAGAGAGATTTCTTAAAGCCTTTCAATTTAATGTGATATACAGAGATATCAGAAAGTTATGACATATTCAGAAATGATGTTAAAAGAAGCAAACAAAAGTTAAATACAAAAATAAGAGTGGAAACACAAAAATGAATATGCATAGAGTAGATATAGAAAGAGAAGTATGCAAATTTGTTTCCAAGAATTTAATCCTAAAAATAAAAACATAGCATATATCTATCTGTCCATGCATGCTGAGAAATTGATCAGTAGCAAAACGATCTTGTTACGGAAGTGAAACGACAACGGTCATTATTATATGTTTCTATACTCATGCAATATTAATGTTTCTCCGAAAATTCTCGGGGACAAAATAAATCACATGTTTTTAATCCAAATGCACAGTAATGAAATGAACTTTCTTTTTTAATTATTCTTCTTTGTCATTTGATTCTACTTTCCCAGCAGTAAGAGTCAGGAAAAATGACAAAAAGGCAAAAATATACTTAATTATGATTAGGGGTGAAAGTCGGATGGATCGGATCGGAATTAGCCTTTTCGAAAAATTTCCAAAAACTTTCGAAAGTACAACATTGGGAGCATAAAAACCTATTCATTGATTGTATATTTGAACCTCCAATCCACAGGGTATAAGGTCTACAAAATTGTCATTACACATTATGTATCATACATTATGAATGGATCCGAAATCATTTTATTTTTAGGGGCGAGAGTACGAAAATAACGAACTACTGATTTAGGGGGTCAAGAGCAACGTGCAGCCATTTACTTTTTCTAGGGATAATTTTAAAATAGGTATGAATTAAAATTTAATATGACCATATATTGTTATAATTTTGAAATCATGCATTATAATTGAGTATTTCTTTTTATAGGACAAATAGACTACTGATGTGGCCTACATGGCGAACCCAAGATAAATGAATGGGATGAGACGGGAAATAGGAAAGCCCAAAGAAAAAGCCATGTATCACGAAGAAGCGTAAAAAAAAAAGGAGTGTCGGGAAAGATTTTATTGGTATCAGCATTCCAACGGTTAAGTCAGTTGGAATCTTTGCAAATAATGTATGCGTATTTTTAATGATGTGGTGAGAGTAGGGTGTACTAGGAATACGAGTTTATCTTTTCCTTGTACCTTGTAGCTATATTTATACATGTCTTGGAGATGGAGTGGTGGGGTCCCCTTAAGTTTCTGGTCGTATTCACACGTAGGTGTTATGTGATTGCTTTGGGCTGCTTGTGTGCTGAAGGCGAGCTGTTCGTTCCTTGCGAGTTGGATCAGCTCGAATGGGGAGGGCTCGCGGGAGTGATCGCTTCCTTTTAAATCACAAGTAGTCACTTCCCCAGTTCATGTCGTTTTGCAGACTTTATGTCTTTGGTGTCATAGCTGAAATGTGCTTACATCCATCGTCTGTCTATACCACGTGGAAGGAGGTTTATGGAGTGTAGAGTAGATAAGCTGTTTTGGAGTGGGTTTGGCTTGTATTTAGGCTTCATCTATGATTTTATTACTTGGGTCTTAATTTTTTTTATATAGAAAATCCAACTCCATTTAATTCAAGTTGTGTTGAATAACGCATAAAAATCCACAAAATTTTTGTTTTGCAATTTTTGTATTTAATTTTGATCATGTTAAAAACAAACATTATTGTATTAACAAACTATAAGACCAGTAGTAGTAGTGGAGCCATGATTTAAAGTAACACGAGCTAAAAAGATAGCAAAAAAAGAGTTGTATTTGCATGAACAAGAATTCTCTCATGTAAATGAGCATTTAGTAATAAATTTATTTTTGTATTAGCAAAGACTAAGTAACTGTAATTTAATATAGTTAGTCATCAACAAGTTGTTAATGGTGTCATTAACAACTTGGTAAATAAAGAATTTCAAGAAAATATACTTAGAGACAAGATAATGAGATTCAAGAAAGAGGGGTATATTTTTACAATTCGAAAATTTATAATATAATGTTACTAATTGAGTAACAACACCCTTAATTCTTGTGTATTTGTGTCAAATCTATTTTAGAAAAAAAAAAAAAAAGAAAAATTCATTCCTTTCAATTAACATGAAGTATAAATTAGACTAATAAACAAAATAAATATGGTGGGCTAAGTACAAATGAGGGGTACTTTGTGAATAAGAAGACCAAACAGCGTAAAACATGTGGTTTTTAGATGAGCTCTAGGGAATGGTATTTGAATAAAACCTTGAATTAAAATAGATTTAAGGTATATGAAGTGATATATGTCGTTCCAGTTCTAATAATACTATTTTTATTTCTAATGTGATTTCGACCATTTCCGAATTCGAATTCGGCAATGCTCAAAGCACGGAATTCATATTTCGTCGAGTTATCTTTCTAAATCATCTTGAATCACCAAGATTGGATATTGAATGAGAAAAATATGCATGAATTAAAAAATGATACCTTCAACTTCAATATTTTGAGTTATCTAAATTTAAAATATAACACCATTAATTCATAACTTTGTCACCGGAAGTTTATTATTAATAATTCAAGTTGGATTACAAAGCGAACTTAAATTACTGCAGTTTCCGTATTTTAAATTTTACAAAAACCAAACTAGAAAATGATCAAAATCACATTCAAAGTCAAAATGATATTAAAAGAGTTGAACGACATTTAACACTAGAGATATAAAATACGTACACTATTTTCTATCATGGAATCAATCATAAAATTATTTAGGAGACGAAAAGTAAATACTTCTGATATAATCATTTTTTTAGAATAATTCAGATACAATATCTGACCATTCACTAGAGCAAGAACTAGTTTAGAGTCGAGATTGTCACACATTGTTAGTTTAGTGTGGTTTATGTCTCTCGTATAATTTATAAGTTATTATACGAGAGTATAGATTTACCCAGTGCACCTATATATTTGGCTGCGAGTTGCGATAAACAGAAAAATCCGATAATGTCAAAAAGAAGAAAATATTATTAAATTCCAAGGGTGAAAACAAAAAGAAAAAAAAAGTAAAAATAACATTAGTAAGAGAGAGAGAGAGAGAGAGAGAGAGAGAGAGAGAGAGAGAGAGAGAGAGAGAGAGAGAGCGGGAGAAATGTGGACCGACATAAATAAAGATACAAAAAAGTCAAAATAATAGACGCATCACGCATTATAAACAGCTTTGTTACGGGATCCCCACCCCCCCCCCCCAACGAAACCCACCAACCAACCAACCAACAATCTATTATTCCCCCAAGCAACTTCCTTTGTCACTTTCAATCTCTACACCATACAAATCTATACATACAACTCCCTCTGTATCTATCTATTTTCCATCACCCGTCGATTGACGACTGTGCTCACAAATCGATCAGTAATATATATAATGTCAGGGAGAGATTTGAGGAGAAGGGTTACGGCGATCAGCAACAGCAGAGCACCACCAAGACCATCGCCATCGCCTTCCCGCCGGAAAATAAGACTTT